TACATTTTCCCAGCAGATAGTTGGACTAACTTGACTGAAAAATTTATTAGAAAACTTCTTGAACCACTAAGCAAGAAAATAATGTTGATCTAAGACTCCATATAAAAATTGATGCATCCTTAGGATTAACTATCACACTTACAAGAACTCTTCTTGCAGATAAATGCAAAGAAAGTATCTTAGTAAGAGATAACGGGCAAGCAGTTGCCAGAAATCCGAGAATTTGTTGTGATAAATATCTCAACAGAATTTCAGGACAGTATTAATGTCTACCATCTAAAAAACATGAAAAGAAATTTAAAACCTTTAAAAAGAAAAGGTATATTACTCAAAAGAGACATATTTTAATTACCTATGAAGAAAGTCAAAAGTTCAGGATAAATTCTCAAAGAGAAAAAATCTTAGAACTGCTTGAAAAATGTTGGTCAGAAAATTCTTTAGACCCACAAAAAAATAAAGGAAAAATGACAAAAACTATTGAATTACTTGATGAATTCAAAACAACTATTGTTAGAGCTAAGGCAATGGCTTATAGCCCTAAAGATAGAGAAGAATTCTTAGTACAGATTAAAGAGCTGCTTGAGTTACAAGTAATAGAACCTAGTAAATCTCAATTTTCCTCACCAGCCTTTATGGTTAGGAAAGAAGCAGAAAAAAGAAGAGGTAAAGCTAGAATGGTAATTGACTATTTTCTGCTAAACAAGATTACTAAGACTGATGGATATTTGATTCCAAATATGCAAAGTCTATTACAATTAATCAAAGGAAAGAAAATACTTTCTTCTTTTGATTGTAAATCTGAATTTTGGCAAGCAATACTTGACCAGGAAGCAAGACATCTAACAACATTCAGTTGTCCACAAGGACACTACCAATGTAATGTTGTACCATTTGGGTTAAAGCAAGCACCAGGTATTTTCCAAAGACATATAGACAATATTTTTAAGACCCATAATAAATATTGTTGCGTATATATTGACAACATCTTGGTATTCTCGGATACAGAAGAATCTCACGAAAAACGTGTTATCACTGTCTTACAGGAAGCATGCAATACAGGAATTGTGCTCTTTAAAAAGAAAGCAGAATTATTCAAAGAAAGAATTGGATACCTTGGGTTAGAAATAGCTTATGGCTATAAACAACTAAAGCCCCATATACTTGTACATATCCAAGAATTTCCAAATGAAATTCAGGATCAAAAGCAGTTGATGAGATTTCTTGGATGTCTCACTTATATAGAATCTTTTATCAAAGATTTAGCAAAAATGAGAACACCACTCCAAAAGAAACTCAAAAAGGATTTTAAATGGAACTAGACTAGAGAAGATAGTCTTTATGTTCAGAAGATAAATCTCAAGTTAAGACCTTACCATCATTATATCGTCCCAAGACATGTGATAAAATGATTATTGAAACAAACGCCTCTCAAGAACATTGGGGAGCAATTTTAAAATCTTTTGACTACCAAGATCAAAATGAAAAATTATGTGGTTACGCTTCAGGAACCTTTTCAGAGACCTTGCTGTTAAACCTTCTTTTGAATAAAACTCCATGTTTTAATCATGTCTTCAAAAACTTCTTCTCTTATATACAAATTCATGTACGGATCTATACAGATCAAGGGACAAAGGAGTACCGTTAGGCAGGGAGCTGTTAGGGAAACAAGTCCAGGAGATCTACCATAGTGAGGCACGAAAAGTATATCAGACAGAAGCGTAAGAAGGACCATCCAATCTCTTCATACAGTAAGAATGTTTAATTTTTGTAAGACTTTTAATATGTTTAATACATGTATTCTAGTTGGAATCCTCAGTCTAACCAAAACATTTAAGTTTTTTATAATTATTTACATTCCGCACTCACCTCCACCGAAATTGGTAGCAGAGCTCTGAGTTGAATTTATTTTCACGAAGTTCGAAGAGCCACATAGATGACATCTCTTAACCTATTCAACAGTTGCATATGAACCTAAACAAGACTTTTAAATATTGGTTTTAACAAATTCGATGAATTCGTGGTCTCCCAAGAAAAAAAAATTGAAATTGTTATTTTCACTTCTTAGAATCCACTCTTTTGAAATATCTTTTTCAATACCATTATTTAAGAAAATGTTTCCGAATAGAAGCAATGAGTGTAGTCAATTCATGAAAAGGTAACATATAAAATGTTCGGTCTGGATTTATATGTAAATATAGAAGGATAAAACTATTTATACATAATTTTCCTTATCGAAAATGTTACACCCTCTTACATGTGCATGGGGCCCGCATGAATAAAAAACTCTAAAAAATGTGGTCCCCACACCCTGTTGTGAGGGTAGGTAAAAGATTAGGTAAAAAATATCATGTACATGTAGCATTGATAGAATTGGTTGAACCCCTAGTTGGAATAATATATGGAAGAAAGGGATAGAATGATGTAATTTATATTAAAATTGGATAAAAATCCTTAAAAATAAATTTAACTCTATTTGTTATAGTTTAATATTGTAGTAAACACTAAATATATGCTTCTTATAGATTTTCGAGTCTCAACCATATAAATGTTATAATCTTTTCCGAGTATTATGATGCAAGAGACTAATCGTGATTGTTCACAGTTTGCTTATTGCATATGATATAAATATAATATGAAACTCAAATTACGCAAAAAAAAAAAAATAGTTAATATGAAAATTATAAGAATTGTATTGTAGATTTAGATGGTAGAAAAGAGTATTGGTGTGTCTATCTAAAAAAATTGACTCGACTCGGTCCATAACTCGTCTCAAAATGAGTCGTCTAGCTAAGCAGACGAACCGACGAGCAGTTCAATCCATTGACACCCCTACATCTTGTTTTTTTGTGACAATGTCTGTTACAAAATTTCGTTAGGAGGATACAAAAGAACTTATTAGCATTCTAAATAAATAAAAATAATAATATATACAAAAGTTTAACAAAATATTTGATACTCATTTCAAAGTACGCTTACAAAATATTTGGATAGCTCCAGTTATCGAGGATATTAGGATGCCGTTATTTATATTCACAATTGTATATTCATCATACTCTATATCCATCCCTAGTAAAATATTAAAAAAAATTAAAAGAAGTACTATTTTCATCCATGTCAAATTTCAATATTATCCTTATTTTCATTTAAACACTATAAATCCACAAATTTTATATTTTCATCCCACTCTAAATACATTTCTTAAAATTTTAAAAAAATCAATATATTCATCCAAACATTTAATGTAAAGTAAAACGCAATACTTCTATGTAGAGTTAAACGCCATTAATAGTGGGGACAAAACTCCCATCTTCTAACATGATTTTGTAATTTCAAAAACAAGAATAAAAAATGATGAATGTATTTCTTCTAATGATAATACAACATTCATCAAATTCACAATAAAACATAATCCTTACCTTTTTCAAATTCTTCTTCATATATTGCTATGTCTTCATGTATTTCCCATAATGTTAATAATTCCATTTTTATTTTGATTTCAATTAAAGACGATATTTTATGATTTTAGTTGAAAACAATATTTTTTGATAATTATGGTTTTATGATTTTAGTTGAAAATGATATTTTATGATTATTAGAGTTTTAGTTAAATACAAATTCTAAAAGAATATAAAAAAAGGTTTAAAAGAATTTAATAAAAATAAATATTTGATGATGAATTTAGAACAATATATTTTTATTTAATTTTATATATATCTATTTAGGTAAATCTACATAAAATTAAAAATATAATATAATTATCTTTTTAAAAGTAGAATATATATGTGCACGGTCTCAACACCCCCACCGCCACTGCTACCACCACCACTTCACTACAATTGGCAGCATCACCACCATCTTCATCATCTCAAACAAACCAAACCGTGACCACCAAAATCTACCACCACTGTGACGATAGCAACGACCACAACCACCAACACAAAATAGATCTAAAATCAGAGTCGTGATAGAAGCGACAACCACCACTACGACCACCGCCACCTCATCACACCTCCAACATTACCAGCACCACAAGCACCACCAACAAATCAGATCCAAAACAGTCAACATCCTACAACCGCTATCACCACACCACCTCACCATCGTTGTTGCCTCCACCGATGCCATCACTACCACTCCTTCACAGACCGTACGAAAGCTAGTAACAAGCCACCACGGTCTTATCAACAAACCACAAGAAGTAACAAACCACCATTTTCTCTGCGATGACCAGTAATGATTCGCACAGATCTCACATATCTGCTTCGCAACGACCATTGCAACACTCATGTGCAGTTGCGTGCTGTAGCATGCGATGATCTGCACGCAGTGCAATCGTCGTTACTATTTTGCTCAACGATCCTGCGATCACTTTGGACGGTGGTTGTTGTGTCGCACAGCGATCCTGCATGCGACTGTGTACGGTGGTCATCGGCTAATGAAGATGGTGTCGTCGTCATTGGTGTTCCGAAAGAGTAGATAGTGGAGAGAGAATAGAGAGAGAAAGTAATTTGTGATGAATTAGGGTTGAGTGAAGTGATATATTAGATAGAGTATACTAGAGAGAGAAAGTGAATCTTTATTTAATAAATGTTAAGTAATTATTTATAATGTTCAATAATCAATTACAACCTGAGTTGTGAAAAATGAAACTTAAAATCTTGTTTATGAAATGCAAACTTAAAAATGCCCAAGGTGTAATTTCCAAATAATAATAATAATAATAAATAAATTATTGTAACATGTGTAACTGTATATAAGAGCATGTTTGAGAAAGCTTAAAATCCAATTAAAATTGAAAATATAGTTGTTATTGGGTCCCACTTGTCTAATAAAAGTCAACAATAACAGTTAATTTTTCAATTTTAATTCGATTTTAATCTCTACCCTTGCCGTTAACAAAATAATAAATTTATTATTTTCATAGTCAATTAAAAAGAAAATAAAAGAGAAACCAATGACTTGTTTCTCCTCGTTCCAAAATCGTTGAAGCCCAAAGAATTATGGGTTCCGAGAAGTCAACAAAGCACCCTCTTGTCTTCGCTTATTATGTGACTGGCCATGGTTTTGGCCATGCCACCCGTGTTGTTGAGGTTCATCAAACTCTCTCTTTCTCTAATTCTCTGTCTCTGATTCTGCATTACTTATATAGATAACCCATTTGATATAAAATCCTTATTTTTTTTTTATGATTTTAACTTCTGTCTTTATTCAAGATTATTATTCAATGTGCCTTGTTTTAATTCAGTGTGTGACTGTGGGATCGAAAGTGCTTGTTTTATAAGCCTTGGAGAAGCCCATTTTATGATTTTGATGTAAATGTATGATTTTGATTTGATTCAGTGCGTGCGCGTTTATGCAAAACTTAAGAGAAGCTCATTTTGAGTATAATTGATAATGTCCATTTAATTGTTTATAAATAGATAAGTTTGCCTTAGATACTACTTTTAAGCATTTAGATGATGATTTTTGTTTTGCATTATTAAATGATCAAATCTTTTTTATAATTTTGATCATATTATTTGATTGCGATGGCAAAAAAAAAAAAATAAAGAATAAATGGTGGAAGTTAATGGGGAGAAACGGGTTGGAAATGGATAGAAGACTTTACACCTATCCCATGGAGCTAAGTTTTAATTTGGCGGACGAGTGGCGAAAGCGTTTAATAATTAAAGAAAAAAGTGAACGAGAAACATTGATGCTGAATTGGTGAGGAAACGTTTATGAAATTCTTGTAATAAGAATAATGTAATAAATAAGAATGATACGTGAACAATCATGTCTAGTATATATCGAATAATAATTGATTATTGTTGAAAAGTGTACAATGCCTTTGTATTTATAGGCAAAACTATTCCTTAGTCCTATTAATATAAGGAAACTAAATTCTAAAAGAAAATAAACTAAAATCCCAATCTAAAAGAAATTAGAAATCCTATTCTAATCCATAAAGAAAAGAAATTCTATTCTAAAAAAATATTAGAATAAAGAGATAAAACTTATTATAATTAGACATCTCATTATAAATATATAATCCTAATGCTATTTACAATAGGATTGTCCTACGTCACGAATTTACGGGAGTTGTTCATTGTGTATTCAGTTTCGGCTCCTGCACTTGGCCGTCTTCGTTTTTCTTTTTAGTAATCTTTGCCAAATCATTCCAGGATCATTTGGTAGAATCTTAGACTGTCTTTATTCTGAAACAAAATTCGATTGAGTTGCCCTTCAGCGGCTGTTGCAGAGAGGTTCCTTGAAAATGTTTTATATAGTTTTACGTTTAAGAAATAAAATTATACCTGGCCATGAACCCAAAATTTTTTTTGAGTACTCTTTCATTCATTTTTAACAAAAAGTAATGAAAATTAGATTGATGATCATTTATTTCATCATCTACATTCAAAACTTAAAATGTGTTTCTGAAATTGCAAAAGAATCACACTACAAACTTCTTTTCGTGTTCAAGATCTCAATTTTCACATGGTGCTACTTAAAACATGGAATTTTGTTAGATTATGTTAAAATGATTTCAGCTGTACTTTACTCCTTTCATTATCATGGTAAGTATATAATGTGGCTGTATATTTATTAATTTTTCTTATATGGTTTCATCGCCATTAGCCGGCTTCTAAAGGGGTGTATTAGTTTAGAAATTTGTCAAATCATCATTGATTTTATTAATCTTACAAATTTAGTCCTCACTGGCCTGCTTCTAAGACGAATGCAGTATATCAGTAGTTTGTCAAATGGTCGTATTTTCTTTATCTAACCAATCTATCTTTTTCTTAAAGTAAGAAACTGTGAACATGGTGAATGTATACTCACTACCTTGCACATGCCATTTGGTAATCAATTTGAATGTCCTGCGTGCACTTAGGTTGCTCGACATCTCATTCTTGCTGGACATGATGTTCACGTGGTCACTGGTGCACCAGACTACGTTTTCACAACTGAAATACAGTCTCCTCATCTTTTCATTCGCAAGGTTTCTCTATTTTTTGAAAATGATTCTTGACAAAAGATATCTACTTAAGATATCTTCATTTTTTGCTGTGTCATTCAGTTTAAATACAATTTTTCTGCAATTGTAGGTTCTCTTAGACTGCGGCGCAATTCAAGCAGATGCATTGACAGTTGATCGCCGTGCTTCACTGGAGAAGGTCTGACTGACCGATAATCAAACAACTAAGCAATGCTTTAAATAAATATCATGAAATAAATTGCCTGCTCTTTATATAACTTACATTTTTACTGGTTGATTTAGTATTGTGAGACAGCCGTAGTTCCTCGTGATTCTATTTTAGCGAAGGAAGTCGAGTGGCTGAAATCCATCAAGGCGGATTTAGTGGTAAAAAATATTGTTTTAATTATTTCACAAACTTCAAAGTTGAAGTTTTTGTTGTTTGGCCCTCATTTATAGCAACAGGCCATAATATGATAATTAAATTATAGACATTTAGTTGTTTATAATTTGTTTGTGGTGAATAGGAGAAATATGATCAAAAAGGTAAAAGTGAACACATGGAGCTTTTCTTTTACGTGTTTTAGAATATGGTTATTCAGTCAGCATGAAATCGAGAAACTTAATAAACAAAATCATAGCTTCATTGATAATGCACCTTTTGTTTAGCTATAGAATGAAAATAAAACAGAATTTAATAAATAACATATTTCAACAATTAAATATTTTTTTCTCATTGCTTTCTTGAGATCCCAACCTAAGAGAAGAATTATCAGTTTTTATGGAACACTGACATGATTTTGTTTTTCAAAATGACCTTCTTCATTGGTTTTTTGTTTTTCATTTTTATGCATTCAGGCCTCAGATGTTGTTCCAGTTGCTTGTCGAGCAGCAGCTGATGCTGGAATTCGCTCTGTTTGTGTCGGCAATTTCAGGTGATCTCCTCTCCCTTTCTTCATTTCCCAAAATACGGTTTAATGAAAATGAAAGATTGTAAGAATGGAAATGGTTGAAGCCTGAATTATTTTCTATATGAATTTGCCTCTATCAACACATTTGTCTGGTTTTCCATACAAGAGTTTCTGAGTAGTAGAAAATGTTTATTTCCATTGGCAGTTGGGACACCATCTACGCAGAATATGTAATGGTAGCTGAATATCATATGCATTCAATAGTGCGGCAGGTGATATAGCAAAACTGTATTATTGTAAATGTTTGTGTTCTTTTGCTATTATTGATCTGCCTCAATATATTAGTTTAAAGTAGCTTCCATATAATTATAAATCAAGATGCATTAGTTGAACTATCTGACGTAGTTGAAACCTACAAGTTTTGATTTATAAAACAAACTTCCAAGCATGAAATATGTTAAGGGATAGAATTCCACATCGAATAAAGATGTAAACATAAACCAACTTATAAAGGATTGTGTTACTCCTCCTAAGAAGGTTAACCTTTTAAGATGGAATCTCAATTTTTAACATAGTATCAGAGCCCATTAAACTCTAACGAGCAATTCGATCCCGTTAAGATTCCAAAAGTGAGCATACGGATTTCAAGATTGGTCTGCTCAAACGAGCCATCATCTTGCGGGGGCATATTAAGGGATAGAATTCCACATCGAATAAAGATGTAAACATAAACCAACTTATATAGGATTGGGTTACTCCTCTTAATAAGATTGACTTTTTAAGATGGAATCTCAGTTCTTAACAAAATACTATTGCAAACTGTTGATATTTTCTTGAAGCAAGTCTTTTCTGGACTGTTTGGATCATCCTTCAACTTTACCCTTGATATTTCCCCCGCTTAATGGTTCTCATTTTATATTATATCTGCTTTATCACTTGTATGTGGGAATTCTAATGTTAATAAGATTTTGCTTTTGATATTTGCCTTTTTTCTCCTGAAAGTTGAAACTACGAAGAGACGTCTGGTAAGTGCGAATGGAACTGATGGAAGACTACTCTTTGATGTTAAATCTTGATGCCAACACCATAAAACTTATATGCCGTATTTGTCCGTTAGTAAATGTGGACAGAAAGAGGTGCATAGCTCAGTAGAATTTAGTCAACCACGTTTTAGGTATCTGAACCTGATTATAGTCTATTTGTTTTAGTGAATAGAAGGATAAGTTCCTGATATTGTCACCTTTTTTTTTTTTTTTGCTTATAGGTATAGTCGAGAAGCTTCTGTTCGCTGATTATCCAAGAACCAGGGTTCTTGACAATATCTTGTTGCTTGTGACAAGAAATTGTTACAAATTACACTAGCCATGCTTTGCTCTGAACCCTAATGGAGCATATCTCCCTAAAATCCAAAACCACCCAACCTTTACTTACCCAGCCTCTTTACACCCAACTACCACCCCCTCCGGTTGACGATGTCGATGGCGAGCAGCCGGCGCCAGTCCAACAAACCCTTACCGGCCTCACGCCACAAATATCTAGCCTCGCTTCCGGCCCTTCGACTGAAGATCGGAACCCTAGAACCTTGATTCGCCTGTGCCACGGGCTGACCGTCGTTCCTACCGGAGATGGGTCGGCGGCCAATGACGTCGCATCACTGGGAGGAAGCAGTTCCGGTACAGAATCAGCGATGGAGAAGATGGCTCACGGCTGTCTGCTCCCGATTCAGCCACTTCCGGGCATCCCACCACCGAATGCACCGGCCAGGGGGCCTGTGCAGGCGATTCCGAGTCCGGCAGGCCAGGCAGCCAGAGTTCAACCCAACCTGCCGGCGCGTTCGGTGCGTGGGGCCCACGCGCCACATCTGAGACATGCTCAGATCCAATCTGCTGTCCCGAGGCCAGTTCGACCATTGGTTTCATCATCTATTGGTTCATTTGCTCAAAATTGTGGGAATCAGTCTCGCACTGGGGGTATAAAGGTCTTCAATTCACGATTTCGTGTTGAGGCAAAGGAGTTCGTTGTGTCTGCTATGGATTCGGGGTTTATTAAGCTATCCGAATGGGGTTCGAAGATATCGGGTGCAATTTGCATGGGCCGATATGGTGCCGTCTGGATGGTGAATATGATAGACAAATTAAGGATGGCTGATAGGAGGGAGGACTTTGTTGCTAAGTTTGATGAATCTTCGCGAGCCTTCTTGGCACAACGATGTGCTAACAAGCGTGGCAGGTTTTTGATGATAGCTCAGTACGGGGATAGGCGTCGAAAAGGAGTTGTGATGGTGCCGGAAGGTGCGAATGGAGAAGGTTGGGCATCGATCTCACGTGTGTTTCAAGCAGTTGTTGACTCACTTGTTTCCAGAGATAAGGCGAAACAACGAATAAGTGTTGAAAAGAGGCGATCTGGGGTAACTTATGCCGACGTGACGGCTAACGTTGGGACATCGAATAGTGCTGATCAGCGGGAATTGGTGAGTAAGGAAAGGGTGGAGACTGAGGGACATGACCATAACGCAGCTTTACGGGCTCGCATTCAGACGTTGAAAAAGGAATTGGATGACTTGATTGAGGAGGTGGAAAAAAGGTCTCTAGCGGACCCCATGAACAATTGTTGTGCTAAGTGTGGGGTGGGTTTAGATAAGCCTCCAGGCGAAATTCAGACGCAAACGGTAGTGGTAAATTCCTTCGGTGATGACAATATGGTCGAGAGGGGTGAATCATATAGGGATGGTGAGGATTCTAGGATCGAGGCGCCTCGAGAGACAGTATCTCGGGGTGAGGATGGGCTAGGCACGATTCACCCTATACAGGGATCATTGTTGGATATTGAGCAAGAACATGAAATTGTGGTGGGGGATAGTCCAACTTTGATTATTGAGAAACTGCAAGGGCCGACAGTTTCAGCAACTAGGGTGGTGAACACTTATTGTAGGAGACTTTCTAAGTCTCCGAAGGAAGGGGATCCAAGGAATGATAATGCTTTGGTTGTGTGGGTCGGAGGAGTCGAGACGGGGGATACATACGGTGAAGTTGCTCGAGCAGAGGCCGAGGAGGGAAGCTATGATGTTCCCATGAATGTTGAGGGTATGGCGAGAATTAGCGGGTCTGATGTTAGATCTCAGCCATCGAGTTGGGTCCTTCAAAGAATTTTAGATTTCAGCAAGACGGTCGGTGTGTCATGTGATGGGCAGGAAACTAGGCTTGTACAATTCTTCGAGGATCTGGAGGCTGAAAGGGGACATGGGATGGGTACACCAGGAGGTAAGACAAGAAGAAAAGGTGATCGTGAACTTAAGCGTCTCGAATGGTCGGTAAATTATGATCTCAAGGGTGGAGAGACAAGGAGAGGCAATACGGGGAGGGATGAAGAGAGGTTTAGATGACTCCAAAAATTATTAGTTGGAATGTGAGGGGGCTTAATGAAGCTGGAAAAAGACTAGGTGTTCGGAATCTATTAAGGGGATGGAGGGCTGACCTAGTATGCCTACAAGAAACAAAGTTGGAGGTCGTGTCGAGGGCTGTGGCGCGAAGTCTTTGGGGGGGACAGCACGTGGGGTTTCAGTTTGTAGGGTCATCGGGAGCCTCAGGAGGAATGTTAGTAATGTGGGATACTAGAGTTTGTGAATTGGAGGAGGTTAGTGAAGGGATATATTCTCTATCGCTATCGTTTAGAAATGTTGGAGATAGTTTCCGTTGGATGTTTACAGGAGTTTATGGGCCTAATGTTGATGAGAGTAGAGGTGGTTTGTGGGATGAGTTGACTGGGATGATGAGTTGGTGGAACCTCCCAACATGTATTGGAGGAGACTTTAATGTTGTTCGTTTTCCCAATGAGAGGTCTAGTGGGGGGAGACTAACAAGGGCTATGGAGGACTTCTCAGATTTTATTAGGGAGAATATGTTAGTGGATTTGCCTTTGATGGGGGGAGATTTTACTTGGTCATCTAATCGAGACCAACCTGTTCTATCTCGCATAGATAGATTTTTGATATGTGGGGAGTGGGAGGCCAAGTACCCAGAGGTCACGCAAAGGAGACTAGGGAGGTTGTATTCTGATCATTTCCCCATCTTACTTTCCGGGAATGTGGGGAGTAGTGGAAGAAGGCCATTCAGGTTTGAGAAGATGTGGCTAAAAGTTGAAGGGTTTGAGGAACGGGTACGGAATTGGTGGGCATCTTATGACTTCAGGGGGTCCCCTAGTTTTATATTAGATCGGAAATTAAAGGCATTGAAACAGGATCTTAAGAGGTGGAGTGAGGAGGTTGTGGGTGATGTCACTTTTCGCAAAAATCAATGCCTCTCAGATATAGAAGAACTGGATAGGTTGGAGGAAAATCATGGGTTGGTTGGAGATGACAGAGCGAGGCGTGGAGAATTAAGGGTAGAGCTGGAGAGGCTGGTGGAGATGGAGGAGATTGCTTGGCGTCAGAAATCTAGGGTCACGTGGTTGAAAGAGGGAGACAGATGCACCCAATTTTTCCATAAGGTAGCTAACTCCAATAGGCGCAATAATCTAATTACTATGTTGGAGGTTGATGGAGTTACTTATGAGGATCCAAATGATATCGGGGTCCATATGGTAAGATTTTATCAGTCCCTGTATAGTGAGCAGTCGGATTGGAGGCCTGAACTGGAGGGGTTAGACTTTTCAACTATTGATGAGGAGGATGTTAGTTGGTTAGAAAGACCATTTGGGGAGGATGAAATTAAGGAGGTGGTGTTTAGTATGAACGACGATAAGGCTCCAGGACCCGATGGATTCTCTTTCTCATTCTATAAGGGTTGTTGGGAAGTAGTGCGATCAGACATCGTTGACGTCCTTACCTACTTTTTTCAGTGTGGAAGATTCTTACGAAGCGCCAATGCTACATTCATTGTGCTCATTCCTAAGAAACCGGGAGCGACTGATATTAAGGACTTCCGTCCTATCAGTTTAGTTGGTGGGATCTACAAAATTATTGCGAAGATCTTGGCGAACAGATTAAAGGAGGTGTTGGGAAAGGTTGTGTCTAAATTTCAGAATGCTTTCGTCAAAGGGCGCCAGATTTTGGATTCCGTTCTTATAGCAAACGAATGCATTGACACAAGATTGCGCTTGGGGGTACCAGGAATGTTATGTAAACTCGATATTCAGAAGGCATATGATCATGTTAATTGGGGATTTGTTTTGTACATGCTTAGGAGATGTGGTTTTGGGGAGAAATGGTGTCGGTGGATTCAGTTTTGTATTTCTACGGTTTCATATTCAGTTCTGGTGAATGGCTCCCCAGAGGGCTATTTTCGCAGTAGTAGGGGATTGAGACAAGGGGACCCTCTGTCCCCACTGCTGTTTGTCATTGTTATGGAAGCTTTTAGTAGGATGCTTGAGAAGGCTGAGGGGCAAAGTTTGATAAAAGGTTTTGCCGTAGAGCAGTTACAAGTCTCTCACTTGCTATTTGCAGATGATACGCTAATTTTTTGTGACGCGGATGCTGAGCAATTCAGGAACTTGCGTCGTTTACTCTTATGCTTTGAAGCTGTCTCTGGATTGAAAATAAATTTGGGAAAATCTGAGGCTATCACAGTGGGAGAGGTTGATAACGTGGAGGAGTTAGCCGATATTTTGGATTGCAAGGTGGCACAATTGCCTATTTCTTATCTCGGGCTTCCTCTAGGAGCACGGTTCAAAAGTACACAGATTTGGAACGATATTGTGGAAAGGATGGAGAGGAGGTTAGCAGGGTGGAAGCGCATGTACCTTTCGAAGGGAGGGCGTCTTACTCTCATAAAGTCCACTTTGTCGAATCTTCCTACTTACTTTCTATCATTGTTCCCTATTCCTGTCGCAGTGGCAAAAAGATTGGAGAGGATCCAAAGAGAGTTTCTTTGGGGAGGATTAGGAGAGGAGAGGAAGTTGCATTTGGTTAATTGGCGTGCGGTTTGTTCTCCAATTAGACTAGGTGGTCTCGGTTTGAGAAGTCTTGTAGTGTTTAATAAGGCCCTGTTGGGTAAGTGGTTGTGGCGATTTGGGGTGGAGAGGGGGAGCTTTTGGAGGTCTGTCATAGGGGCAAAATATGGCGTTACGGAAGGGGGATGGTGCTCAGGTGAGAGACGTGGTCCTTATGGGGTGAGTTTGTGGCGATACATCCGGCGAGGGTGGAATGATTTTAGGGATAGGTTGACATTTGCTGTGGGGAATGGAAATACTATAAGCTTTTGGGATGACTGTTGGTGTGGAGATCAATCGCTTAAGGTGAGATTTCCTTCTTTGTATCGTCTTACGTTGGAGCCGAATGCCATGGTGAATGACATCTTAGATATTCACAATGGGAACCCCAGTTGGAACACTGTTTTTGTCCGGGGTCTACAGGACTGGGAATTGGATGATTATGCGATGTTTTTGACATCACTATATGAGATACATATCAGGGCAGGAGATGATGATAGTAGCAGGTGGAGATTGACACGTGATGGTATTTTTTCTGTTCGTACCTATTTTAGATCTCTGTCGGGAGCTGCAGAGAGCTCATTTCCCTGGAAGAGGGTTTGGAAATGTAAGCTGCCCCCACGAGTGGCATTTTTATTATGGACGGTGGTAAGAGGACAGGTGTTAACGGTGGATAACCTTCGCACAAGGGGTTTTTATGTTACAGAGTGGTGCTATATGTGTAAGAGGGACGGGGAGACGATTGATCATTTATTTCTTCATTGTGATGCTGCTCGTTTATTGTGGAACGATGTTTTGATGTCGCAACGTATGATTTGGGTGATGCCGAGGCGTATGGAGGACATGTTAAAGACATGGAGGAGAAAGTTACGCGATAAGGATAGCAAAGTTGTATGGGACCTTATTCCGGGTTGCATCGTGTGGTGTATATGGAGAGAAAGAAATGGACGTTGCTTTGAGGACCAAACACGAACAGTAGAGCAGGTTAAGGAGTTGTTTTATTTGACATTGTATACTTGGTTTAATGGTGTGGCTATTAGGCATATAGATGGGCTGTCCAATTTCTGTTGTTTCCTTTCTGATTTGTGTTGATGATACACATCCTGTGTATCAACTTTGATTAATATAATATTCGATTACCTTTAAAAAAAAAAAGATATTGTCACCTTTTAAACTATTAAGCTGGCATTGCTTCCAGTTTAATGATTTGTTCTATCCAGACCATCACTATATCCACACCTCCAAGAGATCATCAACAAAGCAGATTAGCTCTAACACTCCATATAGCTCCCTCAAGGGGAAATATTGTTCATGCTTATTCTGAGTAAGGGAGAACCTATTTAACAAGGGCCTATAACAAAGTACAAACTGGGTGGAAGAAAGTGGAGGGGATGCTAGTTGTATACTAATATTTAAAAATGTGATTTACTTAAGAAGGATAAAGTAATAATAATAATGAGTAAAAGGTTGCTTCTAGTATTCATTGAAAACTAAATGCCACTATTGAATTAGTGTTGGTGATCCAGGGGTTGGGGTGGGAAGGGGGCTAGGTAGGGGTGGGGGGGCTGTTACCATTGAAATCTAATACTTGCAAAAGTGTTTAAAACTGTCCACCATCCTTTCCATTACCTTACAAAATTCTACTAACTTTCTCTAACTAGAAATTATAATAGAAAAGAAAAGTGAAACATATTGTAGCTTAATCTGGCTCCTTCAGAAGGAAAACCAGGGTCCTGCGATTATTGAAGCAGCTTTCTGTCTTATTGAATTCCATATTGGGGGAAAAAATCTAATCAAACTACTTTCTGCAGTAGTCAAATCAACCTCTCTTTTAGCACTTCATCTTCTCATAATAGGAAGGTTCCTAAATACTTCGATATTTTCTTGGTTGGATTATGATTGTTTCCGATTTCTCTTGAGTTACACCACCTTTTTGCATTTATTCACTTGGCAATCATTTTAAAAAATTTCTACCTTCCTTGCTCATCTTTTCATAAAATATTTAGATGCTCTTTTTATTCATTATGAATTCATTTTATTGTTGATGCAGATTGCTGAGGATTACTCTAATTGTGAATTTCTTATCCGCCTCCCTGGATACTGCCCAAGTACGCCAACACGTCTCATTACCAATGATCTTTTTGTTATTCTGCTCTTAGTTTTTTTTCTTATCAAATCTAAGATGGTTGTAAACACTACAGTGCCTGCATTCCGGGATTCAATTGATGTGCCTTTGGTAGTCAGGAGATTGCACAAGTCCCGTGAGGAGGTATAAAATTGTATAGAATTTTATTAATGGCATTGTTGGTATATGTACTTATTGTGTAAAATTGTAGAAATCCCGAATCAATTATGGGATGATTTGTAATATTAGTATATTTGGAAAATTAGGGTAATATCTTTTCTTTTCTAGTTTAGCATATTACTTTCCTTTTCCCGTCATTATAGTGTACTATATATAGTGGCATAGTTTTGCAAGGTATGTGAATGTGAATAAAATAATTCATTCTTTTATTTCCACATGGTATCAGAGCACGGGTGAGGTCAAACCCGGCTATGGCAGAACACACAGCCTCCTCTGAAATCGGAACCAACAAGACTGAAACTATCTCCACCATGAATTCAATTGGAATTGATAATTCCTCCTTTCAACTCAAGGTGGAGAAGCTCAATGGGAGAAATTATAGGGAATGTGCTCAATCAATCAAGTTAGTAGTCGACGGAAAGGGAAAAATTGGGTATCTTACCAGAGACACCAAGCAGCCCACGGATTCGATACTGTAGCAAAAGTGGAAATCTGAAAATTCCATGGTAATGGCATGGCTTGTCAATTCAATGAAGCCGTCAATTGGAAAAATTTATCTCTTCATGGCAACTGCAAAGGACGTCTGGGACGCCGTTCGAGACATGTACTCCGACGCGGAAGATGCCTCTCAAATTTTTGAAATTAAGACGAAATTATGGAAGACAAAGCAAGGAGTACGGGATGTCACTGATTATTACATGGAGATGACGGCTTTATGGCAGGAATTGGATCTTAGCATCGATGAACAATGGAATTGCCCTAGCGACAGTGTCCGATACAAGAAACGAGTGGAGGATGAACGAGTGTATGAATTTCTAGCTGGGTTGAACAGAGAGCTTGACGACGTGCGAAGCCGGATTCTCAATCGACAACCCCTGCCGTCCACCCGTGATGTTTTCGCCGAAGTTAGGAGGGAAGAAAGTCGCCGGCTCGTCATGCTGAAGAAGGAGATGAATGGGCCTAATGAAGTAGTGGATGGATCGGCCCTTTTATCCAATTCTAGTGGGCCTACTGGAGTTGGGCCTAAGGAAGGAGTTAGTGGGTCATATGAATTTGGGCCTAAAGGGGCTGCTGCAAAATTTAAACAATTTAGTCAAGATGGACCTAATATATTAGGCCTGATTCGGGAGCCCAAATGCTTAGAGGAACAAGAAAAATTGGATTTAGCCCAAGACAACAAACGGGTCGTCCATGGTGTGACCACTGTAGGAAACCTGGACATAAAGAAGATACATGTTGGGATTTACATGGAAAGCCACCCGACTGGAAACCAAGACAGCACACCAGAAATCACGGCTACCAAGCTGCAGTCAATTCTTCTGAAATACAAAGCTCCACTCCAAACAATGCATTTAATCCTGAACAACTGGAACAACTCTACAAACTGCTTTCTAATTTTCAAGCACCTAGCTCGTCAAGTTCCTTAGCCCACAGAGGTAATTTCCTGAGAGCTCTTCACACTACCTCACTCTCAAACGTCCCGTGGATTATTGATTCTGGTGCATCCGATCATATGATGGACTCACACCATCTATTTAGTTCCTACACACCTTGTGCCGGTAATCTTAAAGTCAAAATTGCAGATGGCTCCCTCTCTTCGGTAGCTGGAAAAGGGAGTATTCGAATCTCTAATTTAATTACTCTCAAACACGTTTTACATGTTCCAAATCTATCCTGCAACCTACTGTCCATAGCCAATTAACAAAAAATTCAAATTGCTCCGCTAATTTTTTCCCTTCTTACCGTGTCTTCAGGACCTATCATCGGGGACGACGATTGGCAGTGCTAAGGAAAGTGAAGGACTCTACTACTTTGAAGAGGCTGATGTGAGTAAACAGTGTCAATTTAAAGTTTGTGATTCTGCGTCTGTCCTTAGAAATAGTGAAATTATGTTATGGCACTTTAGAATGGGTTATCCCAACTTTCAATACTTGAAACGTGTCTTCCCTTCTATCTTTTTGAATAAAAGACCAGTCAATTTACAATGTGAAATCTGCGAACTTGCAAAACATCAACGCACATCATTTCCAAAATCCACATACAAACCATCAAAACCGTTCACCATGATCCACAGTGATGTGTGGGGTCCTTCACGAATTCCAAACCGTAATCATGCAAAATGGTTTGTGACATTCATCGATGATCACACTCGAATATGTTGGGTTTACCTCTTAAAAGAAAAGGTTGATGTTCGTTCCGTGTTTATCAACTTCCACTCTATGATTCAAACACAATTTCAAACGCAAATTCAAATCCTTCACACCGACAACGGCACAGAATACTTTAATAATATCATGGGAGACTTCCTACGAACTCATGGCATAATTCATCAAAGCTCTTGTGTTGACACTCCCCGACAAAATGGGATTGCCGAACGAAAAAACAGACACCTACTTGAGGTGGCCCGGTCTCTGATGTTTACTACAAATCTACACAAATCTTTTTGGGGTGATGCCATCTTGACATCAGCCTACCTCATAAACAGAATGTCGAGCCGCACTCTCAACTTTGAAACTCCTCTCCCGATATTCCAAAAATTCTTCCCTAATACTCGTCTCGCCTCAAACCTACCACTAAAAGTGTTTGGATGTACGGCCTTTGTCCATATACATTCCCACAATCGGAACAAACTTGAGTCCCGTGCAATCAAGTGTGTATTTATTGAGTACTCACCTACACAAAAGGGGTATAAATGCTATGATCCCATCGCAAAAAAATTGTTGGTTAACCTTGATGTCACATTCTTCGAACTTGATTCTTACTTCCAAAAATCCTCTCTTCAGGGGAAGAACTTAAGAGAAGATCGGTTCTTGGAAATATCTCTTAATCCCTCTGAGTCTTTTCCAAACACAGAACCTACAGAAGATAACTCAAACTTAGGGGACGAGCAGAAAGAACGTGACAAAGAGATGATTGTTTACTCATGAAAACTAAAATCAAAGGACAAAGAAAAACTTACACCCGAAGCACCAAGAGAGTCGGAACTGGTGATAGCTCCACATCTTCATGAAAGTTATCCAAAATCATCCGACACTGATCTACCTATTGCTCTCAGGAAACAACCTCGGTCATGTACTCTTTACCCTATCTCAAAATTTGTTGCTTATAATACTTTATCTGTAGGATTTCGAACTTTCGTTTCTAACCTTGATAGCACAAAAGTTCCGAAAAATGTTCGAGAAGCCTTGGAAATTCCTAAGTGGAGAAAAGCAGTAATTGATGAAATGGAAGCCTTGGAGATAAATGAAACTTGGGATGTGGTGGAACTACCAAGAGGAAAGAAATCAGTGGGGTGCAAATGGGTGTTTAATGTGAAATACAAAGCAGACGGTACAAAGCTCGCCTAGTTGCAAAGGGGTACACTCAAACCTATGGCATAGATTACACAGAAACATTCGCACCGGTTGCAAAACTGAATACAATTCGAGTTCTTCTATCACTGGCAGCAAATTTGGATTGGCCACTCCAACAACTTGATATTAAGAGTGCATTTCTGAATGGGGAATTGGAAGAAGAAGTCTACATGATGCTACCGCCNTGGGGAGTTGGAAGAAGAAGTCTACATGATGCTACCGCCTGGTTTTTCTAAACAAAATGAAGGAAATAAAGTATGCAAACTGAAGAAGTCCCTATACGGCCTCAAACAGTCACCTAGGGCATGGTTTGACAGATTTGCAAATGTGTTAAAAAAACAGGGATATCATCAAGGGCAATCGGATCACACTATGTTTTTCAAATTATTTGAAGATGGCACAAAAACTATTATGATTGTATATGTTGACGACATTATTCTTACCGGAGATAATACAGTCGAAATAGAAAGACTAAAAAGGGGATTGGCTACAGAATTCGAAGTAAAAGACTTGGGGCAATTGCGATACTTTCTAGGAATGGAGGTAGCCAGATCAAAGAAGGGGATTAGTGTCTCACAACAAAAATATATTCTAGTCCTTTTAACCGAAACAGGTATGCTTGGGTGTAAACCAAGTAACATCCCTATGGATACTGGAAGGAAAACAGAAAACATCGGAGATTTTATTGAAAAAGACAAATATCAGCGACTAGTTGGAAAACTAATCTACCTATCCCACACTAGACCGGACATTGCATTTACGGTAAGTGTGGTAAACCAACACATGCATGCTCCAAGGGAAACTCATTTAGAAGCAGCATACAGGATTCTGTCAAAGACTCCCCTGGGAAAGGACTACTGTTCAAGAAAAATGAGAAACAAGAAATAGAAATATTCACAGATGCTGATTGAGCAGGTTCAATAGAAGATAGGAGATCAACCACTGGTTATTGTACTTTTGTATGGGGAAATTTAGCAACTTGGAGGAGTAAAAAACAGAATGTAGTAGCCAGAAGTAGTGCAGAAGGAGAGTTTAGAGCAGCTGCTCAAGGAATATGTGAAGGTCTATGGCTGAAAAAACTCTTGGATGAGCTACAAATTTCAGTGAAGGCTCCAATTAAACTCTATTGTATTAACAAAGCAGCTATCAACATCTCACTTAACCCAATTCAACATGATAGAACCAAACATGTTGAAGTGGACAGACATTTCATTAAGGAGAAAATTGAAAATGGAACTATCTGCATGATCTATGTCCCTACCAAAGAACAGACTGTTGATGTATTCACCAAAGGGCTACAAAGGAAAATATTCGATGATTTCATCTGCAAGTTGGATATGATCAATATCTATGATCCAACTTGAGGGGGAGTGTAGAAATCCCGAATCAATTATGGGATGATTTGTAATATTAGTATATTTGGGAAATTAGGGTAATATCTTTTCTTTCCTAGTTTAGCATATTATTTTCCTTTTCCTGTCATTATAGTGTACTATATATAGTGGCATAGTTTTGCAAGGTATGTGAATGTGAATAAAATAATTCCTTCTTTTATTTCCACAAAAATGTAAATCATTCATTTTCTTTATCATGTCCAGGTAAGGAAAGAACTTGGAATTGGAGAGGATGTGAAGGTTGTTATTCTCAACTTTGGTGGACAGGTAATTGCAGAGTCATTTTGTGAAGATTTTATTGGATAGTTTTAGGAGTTTGTTGCACTGGCTGGTTCAGATTTATCTTTCATTTTGAATACATTATAAGACAGTCACTATTTGCAGCCGTCCGGCTGGACATTAAAGGAAGAGTACCTGCCTCCTGGTTGGCTTTGCCTGGTGTCTTATACTTTACTGTTGGGTGCTTGGTAGGGTGTACTGAGATGTTCTATCATCAAGGCTTATATGTTGTTTTCTTCCTGGATTTAGGTTTGTGGTTCTTCTGAAAATCAGAACCTTCCTCCAAATTTTGTAAAGCTAGCAAAAGATTCGTATACCCCTGATCTGATTGCTGCATCTGATTGCATGCTTGGTTAGTTAATAAATCTTCTGCATAGCTGAAATGTATTTTTTTTTTACATTATGTGGTTTTCATTGCATCCTTGAATTATTATTATTATTTTTATTTTTTTTTTGATAAAATACATATTTTTTAGTAATTATAGCAGCCTTCTAATATATCAGGAAAAATTGGATATGGAACGGTCAGTGAGGCCTTGGCATACAAGGTACCATTTGTCTTTGTGCGTAGAGACTACTTCAATGAAGAACCATTTCTGAGAAACTTGCTTGAGGTGAGATTTCATTGCTGCTCTTTCTGCTCGTTGATGATTGCTCTTTTCCCTTCCTTTGATATATCCAACTTCTTGTTAGATATATTATTCTCTTTGCGTCTTGTTTTATTGTCTCTCTCTCTCTCTCTCTCTCTCTCTTAAAAATATATATTATCACTCTGGATTAATGAATGTTTGGTCCTTCTTTTAGTTCTATCAAGGTGGTGTTGAGATGATTAGACAGGATTTACTCACTGGACACTGGAGTCCATATCTTGAACGTGCAGTTGGTCTGAAACCATGCTATGAGGGGGGCACTAATGGTGGAGAGGTATCTTTGTTTTTCTTTATATGGGATATCGTGTCTTTCTTTTTTTGCTCTTTCTCAATTGTAGTTTTGAAATAGATGACATTAATGTAAAGGTACATAATTACGTTGAAATTCTCTATTATAATTGTTTTTTTTCCTCAGCAAGTATCCTACTATCTTATACAAAGAAAATGCTAAAACATAATGCAAATTAACAGAGTGAGCGTGAGAGAGGATTAAGTTTAGTATTCTGTTATGCTTTGATTCCAGACAAATCGAATGGAAAATATTGCTGTCGAAGATATTTTCATGGTTACACATGTTTTTAGTTATGCACAAGTTTTTCTTATTAGCACAATTCTAGGAAATGGACAGAATCTGATTAGGCTACGACTGTAACAATTATTTATATTTCCGTTTCATTCTACATTTTGTACCACCACATTCCTAGCATTATGTTCCCGAGTTGCAAGACACAAGTTTTCATGGAATGTAATTTGGTGAAGGCAAAATACTTAAATCACATCCATTACTAGAGACTTTCTGGTCATGATCTACAAAACAAATGCATAGTCCTTCCCTAGATATTGTTCAATTTAGATCATAAGTCATTTATTCTCATGGGAGAAATGTCATGCTCATTGGTAACATTCTGGAGAATCCTCATGATGAAGATTCAATTTTTATTTTAATGGTATTTGATGCCACTCTTTCCTTTTAGGTTTTTTAATAGGTGTGGTATTATTTGAGAGTTTTATTGGAAATTTATGAAAATTTCAATAATTGGTAAAATTTCAGGTTGCAGCTCATATATTGATGGGTGCAGTCTCTGGAAAAACCATACATCAGATAAGGTAAGACCAAGACATGTATCTTTTGGTATTGCTGAAAATTTGTGAGAAATTTGAAACTCAAAAGCAGAGACACATCACAGGAGGTGTTCAATGTGAAAATTGAAATGCTTCTAGTAACGAGTCCTGATTTATTTAAATTTGATTTTTCACCATGTAGATTGAATTTTTCCTTGTTATTTGGGTTTTAGTTACTTTTTCCTTGAGAAGGAGACTATTTTATATCCAAAAGCAAAAAGGGAAACAAATTTGGATCAGACTTTGGCATCCATTCAATGAAGCCAATGCAACCTCAATATCAGACTCTTTATTTGAGTATACAGAATTATGTTTCCACTTGTTCAAGCTTTTTATAGCTTCGGAAAGGGAATTTTCATTGCTGTAAACGAAACCTCTCAGACTAGGTGAGGATTTCCATGAGAGTTCTTGAAGATTTTGTGGGGTTGAGGTATTTAGGAAATAGATTTCTCTGGCTAAGAATTTCTAAACGAAAATGGCCAACAACCATTTTTAGGAGCGGAAAGGGCAGAAAATGTCAACATTGGAATGGAAATCCATGGCCACCGGCTTTATGTAGATCAGTTTGGGATAATGTGGCAAAAAAGGAGAATAGGGTAGAAGCACAAGAACAATTTGGAAATTTGAACCACAAGAATAAATCTACAAATACATCATGGTATTGAATCTTATAGAAACCATTTAGGCAGGATATTACCTGATTAAATACTTCAGGTAACTGATCACCAAATTCGTTCAATGAAATAGCAGCTTCTGGAGGCTACAATTCTTCCAGCCACGTCAACTAGTACTTTCCATGCATCTTCTAACGAGGACGAGATTAGAGGTGTCAATGCGGGTGGTCCGGGTCGAGTTGGCCCGCCAACATATGAGCTCGGTAATTGTCCGCGTGAAAAAAAAGCCTGCCCACTACGGGTTCCGGGCCAATTCCGGGTCGACCCACAAATTTTGGACTACAACCCAGGCCCGTCCGTTGACCCATGAGGGTCATGAGTAGCGCAGGTCGCGGTTTGTTCCGATTTGGCCCGTATTATTGTATAAATAAAATTAAAAAAATATAGAATATTTCATATTTACAGCAAAAAATATTTTTTTTTGTTAAATGTAAACTAAGAATTGAGCAAAATAATAAATTCATATTTATACCAATAAATGTTTACATAGAATTCAAATTTAATGTTAACTGAATTATTTATAACTTTGCAAAGTTAAATTTAACTTAAACAAATAACAACTAAATGCATTTCTAATTACTATTATCAAATATTTATAGAAAAATATAAATTGAGTGAATAATTTGAAAGAAAAATGGACCGTCTCTAAATGATGACAACTGTCCAACAATTTCTACTAATTGTAAAAATACAAGATTACTAGTTGGATAATAAACTTCAGAACTAACTTTTGTTGCCTTATAAAAAGGTTTCAAAAATTTCATAAATTTAAATGCTTTTTTCTTGTCCGAATCAGTTATATAAAATTGATTTTGCTTTGAATTAACAAATGCATTAATAGCATTAGTATAGCAAACACACGATTTTAACATTAAAAAAGTTTATGGTCAAATTTTTTTTAAAAATTTTTTTCACGGGCCAGCGGGTTAACTGCGGTCCGTGAAGATTCAACCCGCGAAACTTGCGGGTCACACCTCCTTGACTCGTGAACTACACGCTCGGTTTACGGGTCAGCCAGCGGTCCCGGGTCGATCCGGGCCGGTTTTCACGGGTTTGGCCGGCCCGTACGTCTTGACACCTTTAGACGAGATTAGTCGCCTCGGCCACGATGCAATCCCTATTCGATAGTCAAGATGCTAATCTCAAATTTTCCAAATTAACCTCCATTGCCCTACAAAACATGTTTTTTTTTCCTCCCTTGAGTGTATGTTTAATACTAGAAAATGATTTTAAGTTTTACTTTTGTTCAGTATTAAATAATTCAATATATTTAAAATCAGATTTTTAATAGATTTCATAAAAATTGATAAAATGTGTGGTAAAAATTAATTGTTGACTTTGACTTGAGATTAAAATCAGAAAGATACAGGAGCTTAGGATGCTATAAAATGCATATTAGTGTTGGATGGAATTATTATTTAGATTATTACTCGATAGAATTGTTATTTAAATTATTTACTAAGGGTAGTTTAGTCCATTTTCGTTGTTAAGGTTACAGTTTATATTATTTTCGTTCTTCGTAATTGTTTTAGACAATGAATAAAGAATTCGTTTGTTTATAATATGGTAAAAGAGCACAAAAAGGTCTTAGAATCAAATCTTGTCTTCACTTATTTATGAAATTGCCACATGTTAGCCTCCGATGGGAAAAATAAACAAATTCCGCGAGGGGATATGTTGCGAATAATACTTAAATGATATAAGCTTTGTTATATCTAACTACTTAAGCTTTTAAATCAGTTATGCACTTTGTAATATCTATCTGGTTAAGCTTTTAAATCGATTAATCTAACATGGTATCAGGCTTATAGAGTTGTGACATGTCTTGAGCCCTTTATTGAGGGGGAGTGCTAATTGACTTTAACCTTGACATATAAGAGGAGTGTTGAAGGAAAACCTTACCTTATTCAAGCAGTTTTGCAATGATGTGTTCGGCCTATGGACATTGACATATGAATATTTATAAGATTGCATGAAGTAATAATGTTTGATTTTTATTTTTTTTATTATTATTTTCGTTTTGGTAATCTCTCCATACTCATACCGTGAGTTTTGAGTTTGATGGGATGTGCTAGACAGAATTATTATTTAGATAATTTACTAAGACTAGTCTAGTCTTTTTTAGTGTTGTTGAAGGCATTTCCGATGACGAACTTAAGAAAGAATCGGATCATCATAAGAATAGAAGATCTAGGAGACCTGGGGAGACCCCTATAGAACCACTTCTTTTGGGGACAGGCGAAATTCAGTAGAGGCTCGAAGAAGGGTTTCCTAAGCAAAGGGACACAATGAAGGGCCGAGTGATAGATTCCTGCAATCTGCTCTTCACTCAGGGAAGAGCAGATGGAAAGTGGAGGCATTTGTGTTAGTCTTTTGGTAATTCTTTCACAGGTAATAAAGAATTCTTTTGTTTAACAAGTAGGCGAAAGACTAGGTTTCACGATGATTAGCCCTTGTTTGGTACAAATTTTTTAAAATTCATTTGTTCACGTAACTCATTTTCAACCATGTATTCTCTCAACAAAATAATTTTGCACCTAGACTCGTAACTTTTTCATACATTTTAATTACACATTCTTAGAAATATCACTTTTTCCAAAATATATTCTCAAAATCTACATCAAACACGCATTTAGTATGTACAAGTCTCATAAGAAACCACTGGGCTTTGAATTAAAAGAAGAGGAAATTACAAAAAAAGCAGGTGTTTAAATATTACTTTTTAAAATTCAGGCTAAAATTTATTTATGCAAAAATAGGTAATATATTAAAACCCTAATTCACTAATTTTCCCCTCTCCATGTCTCTCGTCCCTCTCTTCTTCCCCTCTCTTTCTCTCGTCTTTATCTCTCTCTGTCTCCCTGCGAGCGGTGCTGTAGTAAGCTAACACTGGCTAACGAAGAAGTTCTCAAGCACGGAGAAGCTGCACACAATGACTCTGCACAGATCGGCGGTGGTGGTTGTTCGTCGTCGCTGCGCGCGACTTCTTCGTGCCATTATTCTTCTTCTTTTTTTTTTTTTTTTTTTCCCCTATGTTTCAGTGTCTATCTCCTTTTTCATTCAAGTTAGGGGAGAGAGTTCTTCGAAAATGTGCTTCTAAACTCAAGCCATATCTCCAAGAAGCAGTGAGCTGCGTGGACATTTCTTTTGGAGAGTACACTAATATAGTTGCATCTATATGCCAGGGTGCAACTCAAAGGGAAAATATGGTTGTGTTTCTCTTCTAGTCACAACTAAAGTTATACTGAATGTGTGTTTCAATATGAAAATGTGGATAATTGTTATTTTATTGTTTTTCAAAGTTTAAACTTTACATTTTGTGGTCGCCGCATCTAANGACAATGGCGATGGGATGGTGTTGTGTGCGATCAAGGTGTTGGATCATGATCGGAGGTGGAAGTGGGGTGTTGGTTAATTTGTGACCAACCATTTTGTTATCTGTGACCTAAAAATTATATAATCTGTGATCGTAAAAGAATCTGTGACCAACTAATTTGGGAATCTGTGACTGTGTGACCTATAAATTTTGAAATCTGTGACCGACGAATTAATTGTGACCTACAAATTTTTTTATGTGTAACAATTAAAAAATTCGTAACCAACTAATTTGGAAATCTGTGACCTGCAAATAAATTGTGAACAATTTGTGACTATTAATTCTATAACTGTGACCTTAATATATTTAATTTATTAATATATATTTAATTAATTAACTAATACCTAGTTTATGACTTTTGAAACTTAAAATCTGAATATTGATTCGCCTCATTTCAAACATCTGACTTTTGAACTCTTCCCTTAAAAGAAGTACGTGACTAATGGTCATTGGTTTGGACCTAATTGGTACTGAAATTCAACTTAAGTCTTTTATAAGCAAACTTACGTATTCTAATTCTAGAAGACGTGAAAGAAAGAAGTGAGAAATAAGATTGACACTTTCTCAAAATGAATAATACATGTGAGTTAATGTCTTGGTCACATGCTTGAAGCATTACAGTTAACCTTCCGCGTTCATGTCACTTAGACTCAAGGGGAGTTATTGTTGGTTACGGGTGGTACGAAGTTATTCCACAAATCAAAGAACAACTTCTCCCTTTAATTAATTTCATTCTCCATCGATCGAGTGAACCCACGTGGACGACCTGCTCATTTCCAACAGGAATTGTGATCTAATTACTTGATTTTGGTTTCAAATTTTCAGTATCACCGTGAACTAAAATTATTGGTTAGTCACAAAATTCATTCATTCTGTGTAGATGCCAGTAATTTGTCCAAAATCCACAAATAAATTTGACGGTGTTTTATACTCATATTAAGATTTTCTGGGTGAAACGGTATTTATGTAATAAAAAAACCATTCTATTAAGTATTTGTCAATTAAAAATTGAGTAATTCTATTTTCACCATAATTTTTATTTGTTATACCGTATTTTATTTTGATATGAAAGTCGGCACACTTTAGTACTTTAAATTCTTGTCACAACTCTCCATTAGTTAACAAATCACGTTCCTGGTGACGACTTCTTTTAAAAAAATCCGTTGAGGGTATAAAAGAACTCACTAGCCTTTTAAATAAGAAAATGAAATAAATACAAAATATTTGCCCCATCATTTCACACTTATAAAAATACTAGGTGCAAGCAACGTGCAATGCACGTTTGCCTAGTTTATATTTAGAGCTTGTTTGGGAGGGATTAAAATCAGATTAAAATTGAAAATATAGCCGTTATTGTTGACTTTTATTAGACGGGTGGGATCCAATACCGGCTATATTTCCAATTTTAATTGGATTTTTAGTGTAACCAAACAAGCTCATAATGAAATACTGATAAATATGTGTGATTAAAATTGAATTTGAGAAATAACGAA